ATTATTCAGCTTTCTAATCATCTAATGAGGTTTTAGGACAATAAAGTACAAGATTAAGAACTCAGTGTCTTATCTGTCCACCTTTTTAAACGGTATCCAGGTCGCAATTGAATTTGATTGAAATCTCAAGTTGGATTCTAGCCTGTATATCAAGCGCTTATGACTAGCGAGGCAATAACGCGGCATTCGCGCGAAGCGCGAGGCGAACGCGGAATTCAAGCGAAGCGCGAGACGAGCGAGAGGCGCGATGCGAGGGGAGGAAAAAAACCAAACATATTTGGCAACACCTTTATTAAACCTTTGACTTAAATCTCAGACGCATTTGACGACAACTTTGTCACACATTTGACCTGAGGCTCAGACACATTTGACGACACTTTTCACAAGCCCTTGACTTTAATCACAGACATAACTTTACCGCGCTTTTGTCACACCTTTGGCCTGAATCTCAGACATATTTGACGACGCCTTTGATAGGGGTACAAATGCTAATGAAATATACTTTTGACGCGCGTCAAAGGTAGGGGTTAAAGGGGTGACAAAAACGGCCTTTATCGCCTGAAGACTCGCCTTTGACCGCGAGCAAAGGTAAACATTTGTCGCGCGTCAAAGTTGTACAAAGGTGTGCAAAGGTGGCCTTTATCGCGCGTTTGACTTCACCTTTGACGTTCGGTAAATCCGTTTTTTCGTCCCGTGATCCTTCCTGTATTCTATTTTCGCTGAATTTTTGGCGTAAATTTTTGTACATTTCTCAGCGTATAAAAACGCGTAGAGACTTCAGTAAGTCCAGTTGCTATCAATCGGTTGCGTTTTCTGGATGAGGCACCACCTCACAGGCTGAAATCTCAAAACTTGGAGCAGTTCTTATTCTCTAATTTCTCCAGATGAGTGATTCTAACGAACTTATTCGTACCCTAGTGACGATATTAAGTAATCACCAGCCCTCTTCTGGGACTCACTCCTCTTCTACGGGTTCGAGTGCTTCCAACATCGTTCGTTCTCTAAGGGATGATAACCGCCTTGCCGACGATGTTGGTCGCGTGCTTGGTTCGTCGCTCCCCGCATCGAACTGGCTCTGTCATGCCCTCCCGGCATCAGTCTTCTTCTTCTGGACGCTACGTTCCATATGGCAGACGCAAAAAGAGGGAACCAAAATCGTATGACATGAAATTAGTCCTCGTTGACTTTATTCGTGAAGTCAACGATACTGGAAAAACCGAAAGCTATGACGGTAGTGTTCTCTTAGAGGCCCCGTTTCGTGTAAGAGAAAATGAATCGGACTCTTCCATTCGAACAAGGATTCTCGCCATTGTTAAATCTAGATTTCCTTCGTTTAACGAAACTGTTCTGTACGCCTCCAGACAGGGCAGAGTAGTTTTAAATTTAAGTCCTTGTCAAACATTAGACGGTAAAGCAGTGTACACCCTTAAATCGAAGTCAACCAACAATTTGTACGTTATGTTGTCCGCTCCAGCAACTGACAGGCCTCCGCCAGATGGTGACGACGAGGAGGAACGTGAGCACGAAAGTGAGGTTAGGGGTTTTTTTTTTGCAATATCTGTAGTCCAAACTGCTATTTTTTCGTCATTAATGATCTGATATTACCACTATAAGTTAAAGTTTTGAACAGTCACAATTGTATTTTCAAGAAACCAAAAAACAATCGTAGTGTCAGTAAGCACATTTTCTCTGACTAGTCCCGTAATAAATCGCTTTATTGTTTCAGTTGGGAGATTACGCCACCAGAGATGGCGGCCTACTGTCCTTTTCGGCTTCTACGCCACGCTCATCCCAGTCTTCGGAAACACGCGGCAGACAGGTGATTTACTTATTGTTATTGTTGTTTTTTTTTTCATCTAAACTTTGTTTAAGTTCTCCAGTTAATCACACCACTTACTGAATTGTGTTCTCTTAACCGTCTTCTATATTTTTTTATTTTGTGTCTTTGTTGTTTTGTGTTTTGTATTTTTCACTTGCAATTTGAATGTCGTGTTTGAATATGAAGGTCAGATCATAAAGTAGCAAATCAACAACTTTGCACGTGCATCGCAATTTTGTACTTTCTTGCTGTCACTGCACGGACACTGCATGAAAATGTCTAGGTATCGTGTATGCGCCGTTTTTGTCTGGGTTTCAGTGTTTTGAGGATTGGCGATTTTTTTGTGTTTTGCGAGAACTACTTTTTTGCGATTATGACGGATTTGTTCTTATTTTTGGATGTTAATTTTTGCATGTTTTCAGAAGGCCCTTTATAATTCTTGGAATGTTTCCTTTCTAATTTAGTACATGCAAAGTGAAATACTACGCAACAGTGCTGTGTGCGTACCCTGCGTAAATCTAGTAAAACAGCTAATACACGATTTCTCAGTACAGTGGAAGTCCACGGTACAAGCTAAGTAATCAATCACAGTAACTTTATTTTTTTGTTCGAATTTTCAATTTTCTTACTTTTGGTTTTACTTTTTTCTTAACTCCCAGTTTCGAAGAAAATATCTGCGCTCTGTTGCGTCAACAAGTGGTTCGGCACAAAATCAAGTAGAAGACATTGAAGAAGTTTCCGATGATGACGATAGCTGTATCGCTAAGGTGCAGTTTCATAATTATGTTATCTTTAGCGATTACATACGTTAACACAAATCAGTTACCTATGAGCATTTAAACGGATGGTGACAAAAGGGGTACGCGGATGTGGTACGAACTGGTCAGTCAAAGAGTCTAAAGTAACTTTAGTCACTACTCTAAATCTTCGCTTAAGAGCCACTTCTCGAATAAGCGCCGCTCACAAATAAGCTCTTATTTGGATATTTACAAATTAACGCCCCACCTTTGTTACGGCGCTTGATATAAAGAGATATCAAAACCATATCACTTGAGAAATAAGACCTCGACCAACTCGTGAGTTCAAAAGTTTTGATGCCCGAGGGAAACTCTTGAAACCGGGTTCATATCTCTCTTCGAGATTTACATAATTATTATACTAAATTGCGAATAGCTAGTAAGCGCCTCAATTAATTATCTCTATATTCCTATCAGTGTTTTCCCCTTAGTTGAAATAAGCGTCGCCCTCGTATAAGCTCCGCACCCATAACAGGGAGAATGAAATAGGCGCCGCGACGTTTAATCGATCATTTACGGTGACCTGTCCTTCTTCCATTCCCGAAATAATAATTTTTTGTGTGTGTGATACGACTTTCCGTTGTCTTTCGGGTCGCTTAAAACCCACTACGGTTGTCACTCATTAAAATTTTTTTTATTGTATTAAAGCTTTTTTCACATTGTTTTAAAACTTTTTTGCAGCCTTTTTGTGGTCATGATGATGTGCGATTAAAAAACAGTGACGATTACAGAGGAATAGGTAATTCCCCTACATGTACTCCCCCGAGGCCCGGTTGAGACGCCGAGCCTAATACATTGAATTAAGCACATGAAAAGTTGGGCGACTGAATCAATTAGGAATGCCTTTTTTAATTTGGAATGGCTAAGCCGCCGGGAATTTCGGCTGTGGAGCGACTTTGGTACGGCGAACTTTTCCGTGCACTGAACCTAATGCATAAATTAGCAGTTTGACCAAAATATGCATTTTTCTCCTTTTGAATTTAGTTCGACAGGAATTAAGATGGGCGTTAATTTGAATCAATTTAGGCGGTCTAAATAGTGTGGGTCGACCTTGATTTGAATTAGGTTCGGCTCATGAAAAGTTCGGGCCCAAGACGGAAATAGGTCAATCGAATTGGCATGAACTCCACACTCTCTACCACCAGTGGGCTATTTATCTTATTCTATAAATTATTATTCTATTATATAAAATATAAGATATTCAGACATTTCCTTGTAAGTTGTAAATATCTTACAGGAAGAGAGCTAGAGAGGATAACAGTTCATTATTATGTAACACCAATCAGGGGCACCCAACGTCAATTTTCGGAAAATATCTGTTCGGAAGACGATTTGAGATCTAGAATTTTCGGAACATTTTTTGTAAAATTTCTTGCTTGCCTACCTCTCATAGGATTTTCGAACATCTAAAAAGCTCACCTAGAATTTTCGGGAGCCTTTTTTCTGGCTGAAATTTTCGAAAAGGTAAGTTTTGATCCCTATGATTTTCGGATCTCGAGACTTTCAGCTAGGAAATCCGAACAGATGAAAAATTTTTAGGGGATAAAAATATGCCTTTATCTACCGTTTAAATACTAAAATACGTTTAACAATGCTATGTTTAAGTGGTTTTGAACTATAATCTCGTTGGTTGCCTCTGACCAATAAAATACCAGCGGAATTTTCGCCGTGAATTTTAGCTATGGCTGCATAATAAAACTTTTGGAGCAAAAAGCTATTTAAGTGAAATCCGGTGGATAACGCCAGGACAGAGAAATAGTTTAATCCGCGACTGTAAACACCGATAAGATACCTAAATTTTATCCCCGGAGATAAAAGGCCAATGTGTGTGTGCGTGCAATTTATACGGCAGGTTTCTACAACCCATATGGAAAGTCCTGCGGTATTACAGCATCCCTCAGTCTTATGCAATATATCAAACCTTTCATGGAATTAGTGGCATCAAGAAAGGGGGAAATTGGCAAGAACCTTCACGAGATAAAAATGTTTTCTACGTCTGCTTTCTTAGCTTAACACAACGAACTTTATTTTCCGGTCTGAACAATTTTTTTTTTGTCAAAAGGCCAGACTGATTCCAGGCGGCGAAGGTTCAATTCGGTTCGTAGCCGCCATAAGTTAGATGGCCGTACGAATAAGTAAATAAGTGATAAAGGTTTTGTTTCTTATTCTATCAGAAAGTAATGTAGTCCCGCAAGGTTTACCATATAAGAATGCTGCAGCGCCTGAGGTTGTAACACCGTCTCGTTAAGGTGACTCGACCCAGTTTTTTTGGGGGGGTACCATCCTACTTTTAAGCTCTCTGGTATCCCCACCTTTACTTTTATCGTAAGTCTAACACATAGAATGGATAACATATGGATCAATCTACAATATAACATAAAATTTTTGGCGATCGGAGTAAATGTCACGTGGTTATAATGCCACGCCCCTTTGAGGTCTGAGTCGAAAATCTGTTGTTGCCAGCATTTTTTGGTGAAAATCTCTCGGCTACACATAGTGCGCATTAGTGCCTTGCGCTGAACAGAGTTTCACCAAAATCGCAAAGACCCAATTCGAGAAATTCAGCGGTTTCCAAATTTAGGTCATAATTTATGCGGAAATGATAATCAAACTTTACACGGATTATATCTAATAAACTATGAGATTCACCTCTGTATTTTGGGCATCCTTATAACAGATGGGTCCTTGCAAGTCAGCAAAACGCTTTAGGGCCTTGTAAGTGCGCGCGATTTCGAGCAAAGCAAACATAGAGAAATTATAGTTTTCGCTATTTGTTGACATTTGTCAGCGTTTAAGAGTCCTTCTCACGAAAAAAGGCATTTTCTTAAAAATTCGTATTTTTTTTTCCTTCAAATTTTTTCAGGGCCACAATAGATTAACTAACTACCCGGACTCTGAATTTTATGGTCATTGAAAAACTGTGACATTACCTTCTATAAGCCCAAACTTGAGTAAACATTGAAGATTTTTAGCGTTTTGGCTTAGTTTGTGCTTTGGGAGTTGTCTATTGTTTCCAGTCTGTCATTATACAGCATTCTTGTTCAGCACGCGTGCAATGACCACGCTTGGCTGACTTCCGAATGCTCACCGAGATATTCACGTCACGAGTTGGTTTAATTATTGGCTTGCATTAAACCTATGAAAAAATGATATTTTTTTAATAGTAAGTAGATTTAGTGTGTAGCACTTCTTGATTTTTTTGCAAAGGCACAAGAAGCACGAGAATTGATTAAAAATTGTGACTTAAACCTCTATGTATCACGCGATGGCCTGTCTCACTGTACCAAAATTATTATATCTCGGTGAGCATTCGGAAGTCAGCCAAGCGCGGTCATTGCACGCGTGCTGAACAAGAATGCTGTATAATGACAGACTAGAAACAATAGACAACTCCCAAAGCACAAACTCAGCCAAAACGCTAAAAATCTTCAATGTTTACTCAAGTTTGGGCTTATAGAAGATAATGTCACAGTTTTTCAATGACCATGAAATTCAGAGTCCGGGTAGTTAGTTAATCAATTGTGGCCCTGAAAAAATTTGAAGGAAAAAAAACTACGAATTTTTAAGAAAATGCTTTTTTCGTGAGAAGGACTCTTAAACGCTGACAAACGTCAACAAATAGCGAAAACTATAATTTCTATATGTTTGCTTTGCTCGAAATCGCGCGCATTTACAAGGCCCTAAAGCGTTTTGCTGACTTGCAAGGACCCATCTGTTATAACGATGCCCAAAATAAAGAGATGAATCTCATAGTTTATTAGATATAATCCGTGTAAAGTTTGCTTATCATTTTCGCATAAATTATGACCTAAATTTGGAAACCGCTGAATTTCTCGAATTGGGTCTTTGCGATTTTGGTGAAACTCTGTTCAGCGCAAGGCACTAATGCGCACTATGTGTAGCCGAGAGATTTTCACCAAAAAATGCCGGCAACAGCAAATTTTCGACTCAGACCTCAAAGGGGCGTGGTATTATAACCACGTGACATTTACTCCGATCGCCAGAAATTTTATGTTATATTGTAGATTGATCTATATGTTATCCATTCTATGTGTTAGACAAACGATAAAAGTAAAGGTGGGGATACCAGAGAGCTTCAAAGTAGGATGGTACCCCCCCAAAAAACTGGGTCGAGTCACCTTAATACGACCCGATTTTGATGGACCATTTTCAGTTACTGCCTGATATATTTAGATTCTCTACTTTGAGGCAAATAAGACGAGGTGTCAAGGCCGGGGGGAACCGTACGTGATCCCTTCACTCCAAAGGCTGTTACTTTGTAAAACAGGAATCTGCCGTTTTTTTTCTAATCAATTAAACTGTGTTTTCAATGATGTTCTTTTACGTCCTTCATTTAATATGACTCGTTAGTAATACATTGATCGTTTGTTATTGATCCCTAAGATATATCAACTAAGGGGACTTAAAGACAAACGTATCCTGAAGCTTCTTGATAGATTGAGAGTTCATCTACGCCTTCCAGTCGATGAGGATATTGATGCCAACGAGTTCATGCACAAACTTTTGGAAAAAATGTTACAAGATGAGGTACAATTATTATTAAAGGAAGATTGCTGCAAGTAATTTGCCAATAATCCCAATGCTGCTCATCTCTAGGTCTCTGCGAAATAAAAGTTAGTTATGTATCAGTTGGGCAGGTTTTGCTGCGGGGGAAAGCCGGGGCCATTTATCCCCATATAAACAAGCAATGACCGTCAAATGCGAAGTATTGCAATACTTCACACTTATCTGGTGTCGTCCTTTTGACGTATTTCAACGACGGTTTTTAAAACTTGTAGATACCTAAGGACAAAATTTTTCCGAGCGCAAGGAAGTATAAGAGTTATTTTTTTGTTTCATTTCAGGATGTCCCACAACGGATCTTTTGCGGCACGAGGAAAGAAAAGGTTGCCCTCAATTCTTCGGGGACGAATGAAATACTGCTACAGCGATTCAATGATAAAGGTACGCACTATATGGTCTGTAGAGCTTTTCACTGTCTGTCTTCCTATACAGTGGAATCTCGGTTGATACGGCCACTAATTATAAAGGGCCCAAAAAAAAAATAATTTCATGACTTGAGGACCGTAATGAAATATACACCAGGAATACACCGTACTGCTCTCTAATAAACAGCCGGAGTGTAGAGATCGCTACTGACAATAATTGAAAAACCTTTTTAAAATTCGCCTTCAGTACATCAAGTCTTTTAAAGTTAGGCTATAAATCGCCCCAAGTGCATTTTAAGTGTTGTTTATATAATTTTACATTTCCTATGCACTGTTATTTTCTAAATCTCAAACGAGTGGCCGTATTAACGGCTGAAATCAGTTATAAGGGATTCTACTGCTAGGGATTATAAAATGTGGCCGTTGGCCGTATTAACAGGTGACCGCTTTAACGGTTTTTTTTTCTGAGGAAATGTATGGCCGGTTGGATCCGTTTTGCCGAGCCGAAAAAAACTTCCCCCAATAACAAGGTCACCGTATTATCGAGATGTTCGTTTTGATGGTCTCTGTAGCTAGAGACTTCTCAGTCAATAGTTGATCCAAATATCCACGCAAATAATGACAGTTATTAACCTGTTTCTTAGGAAATGGTGGTGATGATCTTGATGAGGGTAACTCCCCTACAACTTTGCTCGGCCTTCCAATCACAGCAACTAATGGAGTAATGTCGCTAAGCGACTTACTCTACACCAAATTAAATGAAACGCGCATGCCCGTACCATTTAGTGACTGGGAAAGCGACTGGAACGAGAAGTACCAAGGTCAGCAACATGCCACTTAAAATTATGTGAAAATTCAGGTGACTATATTGGGCGTGTTTTAACAAGAATGCCACTGTATGTTTTCAGGAAATGAAGACGAGCAGTTTTTTTGCTATAAGAGCATCGTTTATGATTGCGTGCCGAAAGTCGCTATATTGGGATTACAGAGAGGAAAAAAAGACACGCTCCAAAAGGTTTTTATCGATAATGTTTATAAACGCTTTACACCATTAGTTATTTATATAACGTTTTCCAGATGTCAGTTTATTGGTGGCCTCTGATTTGTTATAAACAGGACAATCGACCAATCGAGATACCAAAGCATATTCCTATGGCGGATTTTACAAATCCAGAAGACGAAGGTGTTCACTCAGTGGATTGTGAACGTGGAACGCTCGTGTTACATGGCATGATCGTGCACTCAGAAGTAAGAAACCATCAATACGCGATGATTGCAATGCGGCAATCTATTTGGTAAGCAGAGCAAACATTGACGTCTGCTTTATATACTTAACGTTTCCCTTTCATAAGTACAGCTCTCCAAAACTAGTCTACTGATATTCATCGCAGACCGCACTGAAAAATCTAAAGCATTTTTAATTTGTTGATGCTACATGGTAACACCTTAAAGCCGGGCTCGTTTACTTTTATAGGATTGTGCACGATGGCCTTAATACGTATGAAGTAGAATTGACGACGGAGTTGCTCATGGACCTCGGCGGAAAAGATCGCTACGACTCGTCAGGTTCGCCCTCTTTACATACTTTAATTCATTAACTGAAAAAAGCGTTTATTCAATAAACAATACAGCCATACTATGAACCTGTCCCTTGTTACTTTATTACTGATTCCAGTTCTTACCTGTTGTCTGCAGTTACATTCATCTATATAGAAAGTACCAGTGACCTCGCAATAAAAAAGCCGCCCCTACCAGATAAAAGAGAGCAGAAGGATATACTGAAGAGGTAGTTTGGCTACAAAAAAAAGCCCTCATGGACAGAATCCAAATGGTCGTTTTTCTCACCTTCTTGTTTTTCTTATCGATTGGTCTCCAGTGGAAAGGAAGGCCAGAGCGATGACGACTGTATTGAAATAGATGACAACAAGGAAGGTAAGTCGATTATACTATGTTTAACTTTAACTGAAATATATATGGTTTTTGAGAGAAAAAAAAAAGCATGAAAGAAAGAAAGAGAAATAAATGCTAAGTAAATAAATAATGCGTGTATTGTGTACCAATTTAATCTCAAAGATTCTGATGAGGTCTATCCGGCGTAGTCTGTAGGCAAGCATGGCTCATGTCTGTATGCAAGCACCCTCGCAGAACTAAAAATGAGTGGGGACTAATACGTGACTAACATCACAGACATCATTATCATTACCACAGTCAGTCAGTGGCAGTTTACTCATTAAAAAATTTCTCTTGTTTCATCAGTTGACTATCAACGAATTTTTCATGAAATGGAAGCGTCCACAAGAGCGTTCGTTGGCTTGGAGCCACTCAAACAACAATTTTTAAGATTACGGTTCTGCCGTTAGAATTTAGTTTTTTCCTTTGTCGAACCAAAGGTGCAGCTTCTATACTCAAGGACAAATGTAAAATATAAAGTTCCCTTTCCAGGAACTGGAAAGACCACCTTTGCACGCAAAGTTGTAGGTATTTGTAGCAATATTTAAGGTGCAGAAAATTCATACAGGCTACTAATTTTAGGTATCCGATTTCATGAAAAATGCTCAACTTTTCATCTGACGGCCTTTCGACAGGTAAATTGCTCTGTAGAGCGACTAATTTGAAACGACGTAGGCAGTCTGAGTGTTTTTATCAGCAAAACACCAGACCATGCAGAAAGTATTGATATTCTCAGCAGTGAAATGTAAAGAAATACAAGCACTCTCTAATGATTTGTGGGTCCGCCAACTGCTGTTTTTTCAAGTACGGTTTTTTTGGAACAAAGTTCCAGACCAAGGTGTTCTACGAGTTTCAAATTAATTCACTTATTAATTGAATAAAATTTTTCCAGTGTCTTTAATATCACAGAACTGCTGTACAGTATAAGGAAAATTAAAAAGAGGAAAGTGGTAGAGGTCCAACGGGGGGACCTCGTTGGTCAGTTTCTGGGGTCAACTGAGGAAAAGACCGCCAACAAAATAGAGGAGGCAAAACGAGGCGTTCTCTTTGTAGACGAGGCGTACCGGCTTACTCCCAGAAGCTCGGGAACGGACTACGGGCGTATCGCCATCAACCAGCTGATGGCGGCAATGGAGAAAGGTGATCCAGTGATGATTTTTGCTGGGTACCCAGCAGAAATGAAGGACTTTCTAAATTCAAACCCTGGACTTAAGTCCAGGATAAAATATAAATTTAATTTCACCGACTATTCCGTCAGCGAACTGGCCACTATTCTTGAGAACGGAATCGCAGATAGTGGATTCCGTTTCGGTGGCGAGACGAGCTTGGTCGAAATACCTTGAACAAGAAACGACGGTACAGATTCGCAGCGAGCAGAACGGAAAGTTGGCCAAGAATATTGTAGCAGAGGCGGTTATAAATTTAAGTAATGACCTCTCCTTTACAGATGACGGTGTGAAATTGGTTACCCTTGAAGATGATGACGTTATTAAGGCATGCAGGGCCTTTTGTGATGTTCCTAACAGAGACGCTCCATCTAAAGAACCAGGGAATACTGGGGCAGAAAGTAAAGAATAATATATTACCGTAAAGAGGGTCAAAAAGTTTAACTTTCAGCCGCAAAAAAGCAAGAAATTTTAGGGGTCAGACGTACTTCCTTACCTAGACAAGATTGACTATCGATGTTGCTTGTTAATACGTTTATTGTGAAAAACTGTTGAATCAGTCTACATATACCATTCCACAAAAAGGTTCGTACTTGGTAGAGCAAACGAAACGAGAAAACTGAGATTCAAAAGAAAAAAAAAACATCACGGCAGTAAAAAGATATCAAGGTAGAAAATGTTCCATCACGGCAGTAAAATGATGGCAAGGTAGAGAATGTCACATCACGGCATTAAAAAGGTATCAAGGTAGAAAATGTTTCATCACGAACCGTAAAATGATATCAAGGCGAAAAATAACAATGGTTGATTGATGCTATCACAGGAACATTTTACTGGATATGTCACAACCACATCAAACAATACGTTTACAAATAATTTTGAAACAAACGGCGCACTATATGGCCGGTACTTACAAGACAAGACAAACTTGAGAGAACAAAGAAACTGGCTCCGAGATCACATGGGATTTCTGGCAACAAGCCGGAAGGAGTTCCAGCTAATGTTGATGATATGGTCCGAGGTTGCTCCAATACGAGAGGTAATAGAGAGTTCAAAAGGATGCTTGTTTTTTTTTTGTCGGAAATTTATTTTGGGGCGACAAAGGCTGTTTCTTATTTCAACGGAGACAATTTTTGCTTCGTCTTTCTCAAAAAACCTTTATAAAGATTAGATATTATTTTGTTCTCTTGCATTTAGGTGTACAATGAAGCATATAGAAGACCAACCTCAGATAGTGTAACACGGGTGGAAGAAAAAATCACAAAGGGTGAAGGCTAAAGGGTGGCTCTAAGTCAAATCGGAACCGATTTGCGTTGCTGGTCATCTACGGAACAGAGATTAACAAAGGAAAGTGTCATCCTTTTTGGTATCAAGCTGGATGAGGATGGTAAACTAAAAGTATCTCAGAAGCAGGTAAAAAGAGTTATCAAAGAAATGAGATCAGGGTTGTGTTTTTGGAAGTTCAAGTTGTTGGGTAAAATTTAAGAGATGCGCATTCACGTTTTATTTAGACCTGCCTTTGGACATGTCCATAGATTTACCACTGTTAAAGTCAATTTTAATAAAAAGAGTAAGGTGGAGTTTTATCCAGATCTTTCTGGGAAATTTCCATAGATTTATCAGTGTTAATGGTCAATTTTAATCGATAGAATAGAGTTTTATCCAGATCTGTCTTTGGTAATTTCCATAGATTTACCAGTGTTAAGGTCAATTTTAATCGATAGAAATATTATAGTATGTGAATAACGTTTTACCTTGACCTGAGATTTGAACATCTTTTTTAAAAAAAAAATTAGAAATTTCCATAGATTAACCTGTGTTGAGGTCAATTTTAATGCATAGAGTGAAGTTTTATTCAGCGACACGTCTTTGGAAATTTCCATAGATTTACCAGTGTTAAGGTCAAATGTAATAAATCAAGTACAGTTTTTTATCCAGACCTGTCTTTGGAAATTTCCATAGATTTACCAGAGTGTTAAGGTCAATTTTAATAAATACAGTAAAGTTTTATCCAGCGACCCGTCTTTGGAAATTTCCATAGATTTACCAGTGTTAAGGTCAGATGTAATAAATCGAGTAAAGTTTTATCCAGACCTGTCTTTGGAAATTTCTTTAGATTTGCCAGCGTTAAGGTCAAATGTAATAAATCGAGTAAAGTTTTATCCAGACCTGTCTTTGGAAATTTCCATAGATTTACCAGTGTTAAAGTCAAATGTAATAAATCAATTACAGTTTTATCGAGATCTGTCTTTGGAAATTTCCATAGATTTACCAGTGTTAAGGTCAAATGTATTAAATCAAGTACGTTTTAGCCAGACCTTTCTTTGGAAATTTCCATAGATTTGCCAGCGTTAAGGTTAAATGTAATCATTCGAGTACAGTTTTATCCAGACTTGTCTTTGGAAATTTCCATAGATTTACCAGAGTGTTAAGGTCAATTTTAATAAATAGAGTAAAGTTTTATCCAGCGACACGTCTTTGGAAATTTCTATAGATTTACCAGTGTTAAGGTCAAATGTAATAAATCAAGTACAGTTTTAGCTAGACCTGTCTTTGGAAATTTCCATAGATTTGCCAGAGTGTTAAGGTCAATTTTAATAAATACGGTAAAGTTTTATCCAGCGACCCGTCTTTGGAAATTTCCATAGATTTACTAGTGTTAAGGTCAAATCACTCTAACAAATCGAGTACAGTTTTATAGAGACCTGTCTTTGGAAATTTCCATATATTTACCAGTGATTAGAAATATTATAGTATGTGAATAACGTTTTACCTTGACCTGAGATTTGAACATCTGTTTTGTAAATAAAGTTGTCGCTGTTTTTATTTCGTGTGTTTTGGTTAATGTTCCTATATGAGCTTGCGTTCTTGACAGTGGCAAACATACACTTGTTATTTTGCTGTGTTGACCAAATTTTCAATACTTCAGAAAATCTGCACTTAAAAAATTACGTGTTGTAACATTTTTTTTTCACTCTAAAATCCCTCAGCCTTAGCTTGATTGACAGAGGCTAATCACAAACTATGACAGAAAACCTTCTATCAGATAAAAAGTTCACAGAGAGGGAGTCTGCACTCCTGAAACACAACAACAAAGAGGAAAAAGAAATATTGCCTTTCGTGACACAGTACCAGCCCTCAGTGTCTACTTTAAAAGAAGTTTTAAAGAAAAACTGGAATCTTATGCAAAACCAACCGTTACTTCGCCAAATTTTCAAAGAACCACCTATCATTTCCTACAAGAAAGGAAAATCCCTAAAGGACATGCTCTTTAGAACAAAAATATAAAAGGTTTACACAAGGTTTCACGCCGGTATAAATGTGGGGCCTGTGACTCCTTACATTTTCTCCTGGAGATCTTATCATGCAAGTCGATTAGCGCGAGTGCAGTACAGTGATTTTTCTTGAAGCCGTATTGGTTGCTACAGAGGATGTTGAAATTCATCAGATATTGCATTAAACGATTGTAGATAACTCTTTCAAAGAATTTTGAAACGCTGGAAAGTACCGAGATAGGTCGGTAGTTGGTGAAAAGCGACTGATCATCAGATTTAAAAATAGGTATTACGCGAGCGATTTTAATTTAATCGGGAACAATACCATGCTGGATTGACAAGTTTATGATATGGGTGAGTGGTTCAGAAACAAGTGGGTATGGTTATGTAGGGCTGTGTATGGCTATGTATGGCTATATAGGGCTATGTGTGGCTATGTAGGGCTATGTATGGCTATGTATGGCTACGTAGGGCTGTGTAGGGCTATGTATGACATGGCTATGTATGGCTATGTATGGCTATGTTGCGCTATGTGTGGCTATGTAGGGTTATGTATGGCTATGTGAGTGAGTGAGTGAGTGAGTGAAAACTTTATTTACTCACGGTAATTTTATCAAATAACTTTACATAAAGCATCTGTTCTACCTAAAAGCCGTGCGTTATTTAACTTACATAAAGATATAGATATATATCTAAAAACTAAACTAAGAAAGATCGTACTCAATGTTAAACCTAATGATAAAAAACCTAAATTATGAGCCTTGTGTAGATAGTAAATACGACCTGATCTTAGCCTTAAATTGTTTTAAAGAAGTCTCTTCCTTTAAACTGGAAGGAAGAGAATTGCAGAGCTTAGAGCCTGCAGAAGCAAAACTATTCCTAAGTTAGTTTGTTCTTGCTTTTGACACTATTAAATTCATTCCAGAACAGCGAAGGTCATAACCGAGCCGGCTTGTGTTAACGTCAAACATGTCAGACAAATAAGAGGGACAGAGGCCATGATTTACTTTAAACATCATTAATGCCATATGATGTTGTCTCATTTCACTAAGTGAGAGCCACCCAAGTTCATGCCGAATATCAGCTGAATGTTTCGAGTATAAAGCACCTGTAATAACACGAACGGCCCTATTTTGCAACTTTTGAAGACTGTCTACCAACGTTTCGCCAATACTATCCCAAGCAATACAACAATAAGTAAAATATGGCTCAACTATTGACCTGTATACGTTTATGAGGTGCTCCAAACCAACAAAAGTCCTAATCCTCTTAAGAATTCTAATGCCACACCCCACCTTTTGTCTGACACTTTGTAAATGATTTCTCCAAGTAAGAAATTGGTCGATAATGAGACCAAGACACTTTGTAATTTCCACCTGTTGTAACGTTAAACCATTCACACTTAATGAAATATTTCCAGCTAATGTTGCAATTCTCTGCCGAGAACCTATCACCATAAAATCTGTTTTTAGAATATTCAATGTGAGTTTATTTGAGCTGAGCCAATTAAAAATTCTGTTAAGGTCGTTGCTCATTGATAAATCCACGGCAGAGAACGTTAAATTTGTATCATCAGCAAATGACCTTCCTATACTATGATCTAAGCAATTTGGTAAGTCATTAATGTAAATAAGAAACAAGAGTGGGCCTAATAAAGAACCCTGTGGAACGCGACATACGATACGATTTTTTACAGACGACAATCCGTTTACCACGCAAAATTTCTGTCTGTCTTTTAGGTAAGACTTGAACCAAGAAACGGTTTGACCCTGCACCCATAGTCAAACAGTTTTTTCAACAAGATAGCATGGTCATCGGTGTCAAATGCCTTCTTAAGATCAAGGAAAATAACACCACTGACCATACCTCTATCAATATTAAGACACCATTGATTTGTCATAT